TTTTAAAATTGTCCTTAAAGGGTTTTCTTTGCTCCAACACCTTGACACCTGTCATTCGCTCGACCTCCCATCCTGGCATCACAGATCACATAGCAACTGGTGGATGACAGGACGTGGAGACAAAACACTTGGTGAATCAGCAATCTCTTCAGATATAATTGTTTCAAGACAAGGGAAGGACACTCGGCAATCAAAACAAACTCAAGTTAGGCACGGTAGAGAATGCCTGTGATTCCAGACAGTGACAGATGATAGATATTAAAAGACAGATAGAGGGGCTGGAGAGATGACTTAGTGGTTTAGGGTACCGGCTGCTCTTCTAAGGGACCTGTATTGAGTCCCACACTGTGTTTCATACCTGTGACTTCAATCTCAGGACCCTTCTTTCTGATGTCTGTGAGCATTACATACACCCAGACAAAAATGCATAAAAACAAGCAATAACATTTTACACAGTGAGGGAACTTCAGGAATAGTTTTATTTAATGCAGAAAAGTAAGAAGCAGGAGAGCGGTCATGTTTGCGTGTACCATCTCTGAGGCTCCCTGGGCTCATCTCTAAGGTGGAAGCTCCATGTGAGCTTGCAGTCAGGTCCTCAAAGATGCTCTGGTGCTTTGTGTCTTCCTTGTAGCATCAACCTTCCAAGCATCTCCAGGGCTTGGGGGACGATTGGCCAGGCTGAGCATCCCATAATGCTGTGTGGATGGAGAGGGTGAAAGAGTGAGGGTGGTCCAGTGAGGAGGCTCTGAGAGGGGATAAAGTAAGCCTTCAACCAGACTCATCCAGGTGAGAACAGCAAAGGAAGCGAGCAGGCCTATTTGCCGCCATGTTCTGGTCCTCAGTGTGATTCGGATAAGGCAGTCATAAGTGAGGTTGGGGTAGACACCATCTCTGTTAAAAAAAAAAAAAAAAAGTACTAGAGAGTCTGGAGCCAACACCAGTATAGAACTGGGGAAATGAGAGCCAATTGCCTGGGAGTGTACTTCCCTTTCCTGTGGTATTGAAGAAATGGCCATCACGTGATGGGGAGTACTTGGCCTCCCAAGGCCACACCTGGTTTTGCTTGTCCATAAGCCAGACACTCTGGCCCTGCGGCTAAGCACTGTTGTAGCCTCTGGAAGGTGATGCCATGACTATTGCCTCCATAGCCCTGCTCTGTCTTGGTGAGATAAATTGTGGGAAGGGATACTGCAGTCTGTTGGTGGTGGGGAACACGCCTCATAGCTATACCCCGGGCCATCAGTCCACCCAAGGCATGGAGGAACCTCCTGGGAGGGGAGGGTCTGCTCTGATTTCAGGGACAAAACTGACAGCATTCTTTTCTAGGGCTGAGCCTGGTTCCCACGACTCATGTACCAGCAGGTGAGTGTGACTCAGGATCTTTCTTCTCCTGGGGACCAGGACCCAATCCTGGACAAGGTGGGAAGGAGAGCAACAGGTGTGAACTACTTCCGTGTGATCCTCAGAGGTTCTTGGGGCTGAGGGGTGAGAGCAGAGCGTGCCAATGCCTTGCAGTCAGGACGCTGATTTCCTTGCAGAAATTATCGGCAAGCCCACACTCAGAGCTCAACCAAGTTCTGTGATGACCAGGGGCATGCAGCTGACCATCTCATGTGAGGGGACTTCAAGAGCCCAGGAATACTATCTCTATAAGGAGGGAAGTCCAGACCCCTGGCAAAGACAGAGTCCCATGGAGCCTGGGCACAAGACCGAGTTCTTCTTCCCATCCGTTCTTGAGAACCATGCAGGGAGATACCGCTGTTACTATATGACCCGTGTTGGCTGGTCAGAGCGCAGTGACTTTCTGGACTTGATAGTGACAGGTAAGTGACAACACAGTGCCTCCATTCCAAGGTCCTATCTTCAGGAGCGTTATCTTCCCTCGGATGTACTTTGCACATCCCAACTCTGGAGGGTAAATCCAGAGGAGCTGGCTCATTTAATGGGATGCCATCTTCTTTTCTAGGATTCTACAGCCAACCCAATCTGTCAGCCCTGCCCAGCCCAGTGGTGAGGTTAGGAGGGAATGTGACCCTCCAGTGTGCCTCGCAGATTGGATATGATGGGTTTTCTCTGACTAAAGAAGAACCACAGAAGTTCTCTTGGACGCTAGACTCACAGTACATATACTCCGATAGCAATTTCCGGGCTCTGTTCTCTGAGGGTCCTGTGAACTCCAGACAGAGAAGGACATTCAGATGCTATGGCTATTACTTGAACACACCCCAGGTGTGGTCAGAACCCAGCGATCCTTTAGAGCTCCGGGTCTCAGGTGAGGAAGCCCAACTTGTGTATTGAAAGATATTACTTCCGACAAAATACCTAGGGATCCAGGACTCTCAATCCTGTTGACACAGAGCATGAAGACAATAGGACCCAGGATACAGAAACTGAAAGAGGGCAGTGAGAGTGAAACACTGCATGTCTAGAAAACAGAAACAACTCCAGTGTTCCTTTTGCTACTCAGGGATCAGCTCAATGATCTCCATATACTCATGTAATAGATGAACACGTATGTATATGATTGCTGTATGTTCTGTGCATTATATGTGATTTTATATACTTGTAAATCCAGATAGATCCTCATAGGAGAGAAAGCATGCTATTTATCTTTCTGTTTTTCATCTATTTTTTTATTTTTTATTTTTTTCTGGCTTTATTTATTTATTTATTTATTTATTTATTTATTTATTAGTTCTAGATAGGGAACAAGCTTGTTTCACAAATATATATCTCTCACCCTTCTCCCTCTCCCTCCTCTCTCTCCCAACCCCCTACCTGGTCACCATCCCCATCTACTCTCCACTCCCCAGGCAGGGTAGGGACTTTGACAGAGGCTCCCCCT